AAATGTATAATCGTTGCAACCCTAGACTACCCTACTCCATCCCAAATGTTACCATCACAGAAGCCAGGCAATGTCGTATTTTAACTTTCAACTCAAGAGCATTTTCACAAATCTACCTGTAACAGGTAAGACGTAAAGACACAAAACTGCCAAGATAAGCGCAAGAGTGCAATATGAATCCCCCAGAACATAAGCATCAAACCAAAAGGAACAACCGAAATAACCAACTGAGAACTGAAATTGAGCTCTTTCTCAAAAAATGTTCCCACATTTTATAAGTCTTTTAGGAACGTCGCTGCCTCAAAGCCAGAAGAGCGTTGCGACGGCAGCCTGTGTCTCTACAAGCCTCCGAGTCCAATAGCAGCTGAATAATAAAGCCTCTGAAAGACACCACAGAAGGTCTTTCACTCAGCCCGGATCCCGACCTGCATTTGAATGCATTGGTACATCAGTTGTCTGAAATATTCATGTTCTTTGTAAAGAATTGATGCGAGGCCGTGAGGAAGGCAGTCCCTGGAGGGACAGAGCCAATCCACTAACGCAGCTCGCTTTACGCCTGCGGGACACTGCTGACCGTCCACTCGCTTAACCAGAAAAACCTGGCTTGGTGACCGACCAACTTGCTTTGCCACTGGCTTTCATTGCTTAGCCTTGATTAAATATCAGCGTTTGTTAAGTTACATACACATTGGACACATTTATTTTTTGTGATATGGTTTATATAGTTAATATACATGCTATGCACAATAATAGGTTGACTGACAGCACTGTAGCAGAGCAATGCTTTGTGTGAGCATGCTAACCAGCATAATCAATATTAGTTTGCACAAAATGGTTGACAGAAGGACGGTTGAAATAGAAATCACTCATTTCAGCTAATATATATCTTATATAATATAATATTTAATCAAAGTTTCCTATATAATATAAATTTCAATCAGTTCAGCATCAATATCGCATCTGTAATAGCCCGACACAAACTCACGGCAATTCGTAACTTTTTGATTTAGTGGCTAATTCGTATGAAGTCGTACGATCTAATTTGTACAATTTAGTGCAATTTGCTCGTCGCCCAATGACGGTTGGGTTTAGAGGTTGGAGTTTTCTGTGCCACGCCTCATTTTTAAAATCGTACATTTTCATACGACTGAACTCCGTACGAATTCGTACGAATTTGCCACTAAACTGGCAAAACGTAAAATACTTACGTTTTCACGTGGGATCAGGCTGAATAGCCACAATACAGGGTCTGCAATGTTGAGCTGGGATTAAATATTGAGTTGAGATATATATTAGGGCTGCACAATATATGGTTTCAGAATCGATATCGCAATGTGATCATTCGCAATAGTCATATCGTGACTATACGCAATGTTTAGTCTAGATTATAATTTATCATTTCTTAAGTGTTTTTTGAGGCCTGTGACTGTGTGAGGGTTTTGAAAGCATCCAGGCCTAAGAAATTGTACTGTTTTTGACATTTAAAAAATAATGATGATAAATTCTATTGAATCGTATAAAGAAAAGACTATGCAGTATTATTTAACATTTGATTATTCAATTATAGACTTCCTGAATACAGTTCAAACACAATAAAACGCTGTTTTTAGAATTTGTATCATTTTTATTGGATTTATCTATGCTTATAGATTGTTTCTTATATTTTGTGCATATTGTATGCACTCCTCTACAAAATCATTCCAATGTATAGGGATTATATAGCCACAGTTCAAAATACATTATATTTTTGGAGTTACTGCAGAGTTTTACCATAATGGAGTAAAAGTTTAGCACTTTTGCATGTTGTTAAGCCCTCAGAAAGTTTCAGGCACATGTAGCAATTTAACTATTTGTAACTTTAATAGAAAATCATTTTATTGATTGTTTAAACAGCAAAGTCTTTGCAGTGTTATTTTATATTAGATTTTTTTTTCAATTTCTGTACCTGAATACTATTTGACTGCTCTGAAAACAATAAAACACTGTTTATTTCAGTTTTATATTTACTCTATTGCATTTATCTATGCTTGTAATTTGCTTATTACATTTGATGCATGATTCGCTCACCTACAGAATCGTCCCAAATTACGAAATTATTTCCAAATTGACCTATACAAGTCATCTGTTGAAATATATATATATATATATATTAGGGCTGCACAATATATCATTTCAGCATCGACATCGCAATGTGTGCATCCGCAATAGTAACATCACAAGATATTTAATGTTAAGTTGCATTATAGTTGACTAGGAGTTACAGAATTAAATTTATTTACTGTATTTATATAGAATTTATACAATTTACGCAATAAAAAGGGTTTTCTATTTTATAAATATATTTTGTCTTGTTTTTACTCCAAATATACATTTCAAAGCAAAAACCAGAATGTTTTACTTAAACCATAGACAGATAATTTAGCTTGTTTTACGAAAAAAAAAAATTTTTTATTTCTTTTGAAGCTGAAAACAAAGCACTATTTTTACTTAATTTACTTGAATGTTTTGAAGTTTGGACTAGAAACGAGACATTTTTTGAATAGTGAATATTCAATCTCGGTTATCTGAATATTATTAGACTCCCCCCCCCCCCCCCCACCCCCAAAAAAGTCGAATAGAGCTGTTTAAATCTTTGGAAACTCTATGTACATCGCAATATTTATTACAGAAAAATTAAATATTACAATTTTTTTTCAATATCATGCAGCCCTAATATTGACCTTATTCTAATATGCGGAAGTGCCGCTGTTTTCGCGATTGTCTTTGAACTTCCGATTCAGTCGCCTATGGGAGAAATGACTAGGAATAATAAACGGCAGAAAACGGTCAAACTACTTGCTCTACAAACAAATGTTTGCATGACTATAGAGACCAAGTAGGATAATATAATAAGGAAATATCAGTTTGCAACATCAAACAACGAAACGAGCAGTTTTTAATGTCTAAAAATGAATGGAAGTGAATGAGACCGGAAGTCTCGAGCCAAAAAGATTCAAATGGCAGCGCCCGCTCGTCGGCGGAGAATAAGGTGAATATATACATACACACTTATATACACACACACACATATATATATATATACATATACATATATACGTATACATATACACATCGCAGAAATATCGCAAAATATCGCAATGTCAGTTTTTCCAATACCATGCGGCCTTAAACTACAGAATAATGACAAGCCATTTTAAGTGGATCATATCTAAATCTCAAACATCACCTGCCCAGTGTATTGCTCTATGCCTAATATATTCTTTTTCTCATTTCATGCAACAGTATCAAAGCCTCAAATAAAGAAAACATCACCCTGGACCTCAAAAAAACTAGACATAGGTGTCAATTGTTTGAAATTGAGATTTATATAATCGCGTGAAATCTGAATAAATAAGATTGATGTGTGGTTTGTTATGATAGGACGATATTTCTCCAAGACACAACTGTTTAAAAATCTGGATTCTGAAGGTTTAAAAAAAAAATCAATCAATCAAAATCACATTTTAAGCTGTCATGGATTAAGCTCTAAGCAAGGCACATTACTAATCAAAAATGGGGTTTTTGATAGATAGTAATTTTACTTCACATTCTAATTATATGTTTGACCCATGCCATGTATTTTTGTCTATTTCCAAAAATATATCTGTACAACACAAGGTTTTGTGGTCGAGTAATAAATAAATGAAGTAATAAAAAGGTAATAGCGCACAAGCTGAAAGTCACCACGTGAATCAAGCAGGAGTCATGGCTGAGACGGTAATATTCCAGACGGCTATAAAACTCTTGAGCTCTGTGAATTTTATCTCTAGGTACAATAATGCCTCACCTGTCTCAATCATTGAACGGTGATGACAGTTAAGGGCACGGCTGCACGGTGGCGCAAGCCCTGAATGTACGACCATAAGACATTGTCATATCCGGTTAACAGCACACCTGCACCCTTTAGCTAACATTAGCCTAAATACTCTTTTTCCAAGACTCATCTACAAATATAAATATCACAGAATACGAGCGAGCGGAAACTGCTGGAACTCATTCTAGACATTTCTAATTCATCTGACTTTAAAGCAACAAGATGGGTGTAAATCCATATATAAACAAAACTATAATCTATTGAGGTATGATAACCAAATTATTCAAATTCAAGACTCATTATTGGGGTTTTAGTGTGGTGGATTGTACTAAAAATAATAGAAATACAAAGCACTAAATGGGTGTATTACAGTAGAACAATAAGTCCTTAGCTGTGCAAGGCAATATTCTTCACTTAATTGCTTCAAGCGTACTGTTTTCTTTATTAATAACACACATTTTGGACCAAGTAGGTCTTTGTTCAAGAATGGTGCAAATTACTAAGAAAATGCATCTGACAGTGAATAATATTTCTCTCATTTATGCTACAAAAATAGCTTATCTTTTAGTATAAAACCTGAAGATGTGTATATCCCAAAGATTCAAGCACTACTGACGCAATAAAATTATGTAAATAATTATTAAGCTATATTCTAAAGATACCACACACTTTTGCTATTAAAAATGCTCATTGTTTTCGTAACCCGTATTCTGAAATGCTATTTATACAATTCACACGTACTTTTATCTCTCAGATAAAATAAAATGTCCAATTAAATATTAAACCAATATCTGGTTTTGCTAGATATTTAACACCTGCACAATTCTGCTCAGTCATTCAGAGTTTTGTTTTCAATACTTTGTGATGGTTTACATTTGTAGCACCAAAATATAACAATAAAACATCCCTAACAGGAACCACTTTTTGTTTTGTTATTGAAGGTTCTTGAGTGTGGATTTAAATGTCCTTGATATTACATTCAGGTCTGTGTTTATGGTTAGAAAGTCTTCTGATATAATCAATATAATCCAATTCATGCCTAATATAAACATGCAAACATCATCTCTGGAATGGTGTGTAAAATACAAGGATAATGCCTCAAATAAACGCCCCCGAATGAGAGAGAAATAAAGAAAACGCGACCAACCTGAATGCGCCGCCATCGGTAAGTGAGAAGGATAATATTTCCCGGGTGGAAAATGAGGCGCATGTTGAACAGAGCCGTGGCCGGAGGACGAGATGCGAGAGGCGGCGCGGTGCACCAGAGTGGCCCGCTCTGAGAGGAGGTGTGCCGGAGCGGAGAAATCACGACCCTCCATTCCAAACAAAACAGCCGATATAATCCCAAATCAAGCGGAAATCAGAGGAAACCTGTGTAGTGTAATCCGTTTGCGTTTGTTTTAGTGGAAGGCTCGCCTCTCCTGCTCAGGTTGAAGTCCTCAATCATCTTTTCTACAAAGAAAGAAAGGAGACGTTATAATCTCGCTATGCCACGGCACTACAGCTGACATCGATCTGCTCCATGCTCTCGTCAATCGTCACATGAAACAAAACTGCAGTATGCATTGCAGCCTATTTGTGATTTATATTCGTTTAGATGAAGAATTGCATTTGTTTTTTTTATATATGTGTAAGCGTCCATTGAATTGATGTGAAAGAGATGCGAAAAGGCCATAGATGGCAGTGATTGAATAGGCCTAATAAAGAGAGAGAGAGAGCGATTCTCTGAGTGTGTATGGATATAAATACACGCAGAGAACATAGAAACATTCAACATTGTGTTTTTATTACATTTTAAATTGTGTCTTTGTGTTGTATACACACTTACACACGATGGCAAATAACAAGCAAACGTTAAATGACATGTCAGCCTATTGTGTGCTGCATTTGACATGCTCGACTATAACATTGTAGTTGGATGAGTGAAGTAAATTATTTAGTGTTAGACACATTTGTAAATTGAATACATTCAAAATATACCTGTTTATGTATGTATATATATATATATATATATATATATATATATATATATATATATATATATATATATATATATATATATATGTACAGTTGAAGTCAGAATAATTAGCCCTCAGTTTATTTTTTTCCCAAATTTCTGTTTAACAGATTTTTTTTCAACATATTTCTAAACATAATAGCTTTAATAACTCTTTTTTTAACTGATTTAATTTATCTTTGCCATGATGACAATAAATAATAATTAGATCAGATATTTTTCAAGACACTTCTATACAGCTTAATGTCACATTTAAAGGCTTAACTAGGTTAATTAGGCTACCTAGGCAGGTTAGGGTAATTAGGCAACTTATTGTAGGCCTAAAATGATGGTTTGTTCGGTAGACTATTGAAAAAAAAATCTAGCTTGAAGGGACTAATAATTTTGACCTTAAATGTATATTAAAAAACTTAAAAACTGCTTTTATCCAAGCCAAAATAAAACAAATAAGACTTTCTCCAGAAGAAAAAATATTATCAGACATACTGTGAAAATCTCCTTGCTATGTTAAACATAATTTGGGAAGTATTTAAAAATAATAATAATAATAATAGGGGGGCTAATAATTCTGACAATAGTCTAATAATTCTAAAATTGTTATTGTACTGCAAGTAAAATATCAGTAAAACAGTATTATGGTGTGAAATTCCAGTAAAAAAAAATAAGCAAAGGGGTGAATATATGAATCCTTGCTCTGATAAATATGATTTGGAAAATATTTCAAAAGAAGAAAAAAACGATGCCTGTTTTATTTTACATGACAGTGGCACCACAAATGCACTCTTATTAAAAAAGAAATCAACATGTATAGCCTACCTAACCATTGTGATCAAAATAAAATGCAACATATAACCATTTGGTAGCACAAACAAACACCCCTTTGCTTTTTTGTGTACACTTAAAAGCTCAAGTGTGTGATTGTGTGTGCATGTAAACAACTGCAATCATCAATTGTTTTATGATGCATTTTGCAATTTACAGCATTAAAACATCGAGTGTCTAGTTCCAAATTATATTGTAGCCACTAATATTAAATCTCTTTTATCAGTTCCCAACGAGCCTATTTGTGCTGCCTCTGCTAGAATTGTTCATTTAGGGAAGAAAAAACACTGAATGTCACCCAGCAAATTAATTGTTTGTGGGATTTCCCTAATCGATATACGCAGAACGCGATAAATTACAGCACTTTCGGAAAATATACAAAGGAAATAAATTGCTTTCCGTCGTAGCGGGCCATGCATGCAAACCAATGAGGCTTTACAGCAGCTTTTGTCTGCTGCTCTCCGTCAGCCATTACCGAGCAGCCCCAGCACTGAACAGCCGACCATTTTCGAGCACATTCAATCACACACTGCATGCTTTGTTTTAACCACGAGCCTTTCCATGCAATTCAACACCTAAATGCTTTGTATCGACAGCTCAAATGGGATTGTTGTTAAATATTTGCATAATCGCGGCGTAAATACAGCAGTTGTTGATGGGGGTTTTATGAATCGTGCATGCTATGCATGAAGTAATATGCTATAAAATATGCAGTTATGTCTATGTGCGCAAAATAAGTAAATAAAGCATGATATTTTGTGTGTATCGAAGATTATATTTCGCATGACTTCCATATGTGGGTCTGTCTGTGGGTAATGTTGACGGGGTGGGGGAACGCGCTGCCCGGACACCAGCAGAGACACGAGTCGCTGTGTCAAGCCGGATGAGAAATGTATCAAAATATTGATGATTGCCAATAATTATAAACATTAATACGTTCACAACCCTGATTATGATGATAATAAATGACAGCTAGGACATTTTTGATGAATCACGTCCCTTTTGTTTGTTATTTTTACGTTGTCATGTTTCAAATCAGGGACTGCGATTTCTAACATGACAATAAAACAATTCGGTTTAAATTAGATTTAGCAAACAGGACAAATAAAAGCGCACAATTACCTTAATAATACAAATGTTTTGAGATGCATTTTATAATATGTACGTGGCTTACAGAACTCGGGAAAATATATCACCATATTTAATTTGAGTGCTGAACACAAGCTCATTCGGATATATAAATTATCTTCACAAAATTACGTATCAAACGCCTTGAAAATATAACATTTAATTGGGGTGGATGAAAAAGCAGGCTAACGTAACGTTAAATGGCACCGTGCAATTTGATTGTTTATATTTATTGTTTCCATTCGCTGTTGTAAATGTTGCACTATAACTGCATAAATGCTTTTATTTATTATTATTATTATTATTATTATTATTAATCACAACCATGACACATGAATTTAATATAAATATAAACGAATTACTTACTGGTGTGTTATATCCGTGCATAACAATAAATATCTTTAATTAGAAATCAAGAAGAAAAACAGTCAGATAAATGATGTCGCTTGTTTTGGAAAGCATATTTCAGTGGTTCGGTCCTTATAGTTCCTCTCAAACGGGTTTTGCAGCAGTTGTCGCTCGCCGGTCTCGGGCTTCTCTATAGGCCACTGTAGTCGCGAATCGAGTCTCCAAAGCGGCGATTCTCTTGTCCGGCGCCGACCGTGCCTCTTCGCTCCAGGAGAGTAAACACACGCGCTCATTGGTCACATTTACGAATGATAATGAGGTGACGTCGCACTCCTGGGGACTTTGCGCGTTCTGATTGGTCGAAATCTGCGACCAATAGGAGTCCGATGGGATAAGCGAGCTCAATGAGGCGAGCGGCAAATTCAAGCGAAGTGATGAATACAGGTTGGAGTGACTGCAAATAATTAATATTATTTTAACAAACAAGCCTATAATTCAGCACTGGATGAGTCTGTACAAAGCGTATCCAGCTACATCTATTTTTTTATATACATAAGAACGCCATTATTTGATACGATATGTGTGGTGAATGACAACAGTCATTACCAGTGTGAATATAAATACTACACTATGAATAAGCCTGATTGTACTAGTTTATAGCATGTGTTATGTCCTTAGTTCACGAACATGCTTTAAAAAAGGCTCCCTTTAGAAAAGGATTTGATTGGTTGGCCCGTTGCCATCGCATTGTCACTCACGGAGTGTAAACAAGACTCTGATTGGCTGCTCGCCAGTCCGCATTGGGCTATCTGAAAAAAAGAAATAACTGGATCTACGGTTTCAAGGCGTCCCAGGGTTAGATGATGAAAGCAGATAAGAAGGGACAGTTTCAAGGCGCTCCAAAGGCGGACCCTCTTCTTTCGGCCCTGGAGCGATAAACTCGAAGAGCACACCAGGAAGAGAATTATTACTAAAAGCTCGATTCTTGAAGGATTAAAAAGGCTTCTTTCTTCGGAGAATTATGATATACACACGCGGGACGGATTTCTGGACACATTGGTAAGAATTAAGCGATGGAGACGAAAAAGTTTGGATGAGCTTTACGCGAACTCGTCGAGAAAATGTTTCTCTGAATGCGCCTGAGGGGAACCAGAGACAAACGAAGAATAATGACTGAACTGCAATGACAACGACGCACAATGTCGTGTGTAATGTCGACATGTCGTGTGATATACATAAATGTTATTTAAATGTATGTTTATTGCTGGTAATTGTGATTTGTTTGCATCAGAATGTTGCTCGAAATGCATGTTTGAACTAAATGTTTTCAAAATATTTCATATATAACGTTAGTCATTTTCAAAGGGTAAGTTACACTGAAGATTCACATCATACTGTTTTAAAATTTTATTAGTAGTGCAATAATACTATTAGAAGTAATAGACTATTGTCAGAATAGCCCCCCTATTGTTATTATGGTTTTCTTTTTAAATATTTCCCAAATGATGTTTAACTGAGCAAGGAAATTTTCACAGTATGTCTGGTAATATTTTTTCTTCTGGAGAAAGTCTTTTATTTTTTTTTATTGGCTAAAATAAAAGCAGTTTAAATTTTTTATAACAAATTTTAAGGTCAAAATTATTAGCTCCTTTAAGCTATAATTTTTTCGATAGCGAACAAACCATTATTATTCAATAACTTGCCTGATTACCTTAACCTCATTAACCTAGTTAACCTAGTTAAGCCTTTTAATGTCACTTTAAGCTGTATAGAAGTGTCTTAAAAACATCTAGTAAAATAATATTTACTATCATCATGGCAAAGATAAAATAAATCAGTTATTAAACAATTGAGATGTGAAACAAATTAATTATTAAATCTATTATGTTTAGAAATGTGTTGAAAACATCTCTCAGTTAAACAGAAACTGGGGAAAAAATAAACAAGCAGGCTAATAATTCAGGGGGGTTATTAATTTCAACTGTAGTAGCATATATTATATAGTTTTATTTAAAGGTACCTGCTTCATGAAAAGGCCACATCTACTATTTTAAAGTACCCTATGCTTTTGTATAACGTATGAAGTTATGTGTACTGAGAAATAGGCATGGGACGATAACAGTGTTTAAGGTATACCGCGATTTGGAAAAGTCAAGGTTTTAAAACTGTCAAATTTTGCTGCAATACCGTTCCAAAGGTATGAGTAAGATTTTTTAATTACTTTTTTTTATTCTCCAGCAGAAAAAAATCTCCAAATAAATATGTGTTTTTGAAACAAGTGAAGACAGCAGAAGTCAATAATTCTTTTAAACTATTCAGCCTGACATGTTTACTGTTCCAAAATATCATAAATGTTTCCCAGAATAAAATATATTGTGTACAAAGGGGGAAAAGGTTTTGTTTTTTACCCAGACATTTAAAAATAATGTATTTTACAGCAGTAATCACAATACCGTGATATTTATATCCAAGGTTATCATACCATCAGAATCTTGAACAAATCATGAACATAAATGCAACATATATTTAAAAATATTGCAAAACTGGCTATTTACATATTTAAATCGCTGTAAATTTACAAATATATACAGTGCTTAGCATAACTGAGTACACCTCATTTTGAAAATATATATATATATATTTTATCCATTTCTCTGTGAATATATGTATTTTGGTGCATTTAAACAAAAACAAAATTCAACAGATATTTATAAATTGTATATTTTAGTCATCCACACATTTAGAAATTGAAAGATAATACAATTACATTCAAGCTAAATATTGCAAAAAAAGAAAATAACCTACATAATTTCAGCTAAATTTGTATGTTTTTGCTTCTCTTGATTTTTCTTTTTTTGTGTGTATTTAATATTTTTCTATAACATATAAATTTGGGTGACTAGTTTTCGGACTGTTATTGGAAGTTATTTTGTTTGATAAGCTGCAGATTTGGCTTCAGTACCGACTAATCTAATGTATATTTAAAATTCATTCATTCATTTTCTTGTCGGCTTAGTGCCTTTAATAATCTGGGGTTGCCACAGCGTAATGAACCGCCAACTTGTCCAGCAAGTTTTTATGCAGCGGATGCCCATCCAGCCGCAAACCCATCTCTGGAAAACATCCACACACACATTCACACCCACACTCATACACTACGGACTAGCCTACCCAATTCACCTGTACCGCATGTCTTTGGGGGAAACCGGAGCACCCGGAGGAAACCCACACGAAGGCAGGGATAACATGCAAACTCCTCACAGAAACGCCAACTGAGCCAAGGTTCGAACCAGCGAGCCTGCGACCTTCTTGCTGTGAGGCGACAGCACTACCTACTGCGCCACTGCCTCGCCCTATATGTAAAAATATGAATTCAAAAGATTGATTTGTGAGGGGTGTACTTATATATGCTGAGCACTGTATACATCAGCATAAATGATTACACCCTTTACAGATCTCTCTTTTTAAATTAATATTTACCACAGGATGCTTTACAATAATATATTTGTGTATATACATTAGATTAGTCAGTGGCAAAACTAAAATTAGATTGATTCAACAAAATAACTTACTATCACTGTCCAAACATTTGTACACTTAAATGAATATGTTGGGGAAAAATATTGAATACAATTTTAATAATCAGGACAAATCAAGTGAAGCATAAAAAATACCAAATTTAGTTGATTTTTTATTTTCTTTTGCAATATCTTGTTTTAATTAAAATTTATTATCTTTCTATCTTTCTTTTCCTTAAGACGTTAGGTTACCAAACACTTATTTTATTGGATATAATGTTTTAATAAAACTGTTTTGTTATATACACTCTGAGAAATAGATAAAATAATTAATAATTTTCAAAAGAAGGTGTACTCACACACACATACATATATATATATTTATATATATTTATATATATATATATATATATATATATATATATATATATATATATATATATATATATATATATGTATGTATATATATGTATGTATGTATGTATGTATGTATGTATGTATGTAACTACATCATGCATTGAATAATCTTTTTCA